TCCACTCACCTCAGCCTCCCAAAGGCGCGGGATTACAGGCTGAGCCACCTAGTCCGGTTTGAGCACTGATTTTTCTAGGGGACTTCAGAGGCAGTAGTTCTAGTGAGTCTGCCCTTCATCTCAGGGGTGGTACTGCCCATTCCCCACTGGATGTTCGTCCCTGAACTGCTTTGTACCTCTCCCGACCTGACTTCATCTCTCACTGTTTCCTGCCTCCAGACACCCCAGTCTTGAAGTTCCTTTAGCTCTCTTGCCATTCCTGAAGCAGGAGCCCAGTTTCTTCCACCCTCCTTTCAAGTACTGGTGGGTCTTTCTCCCACATCCTATTGCCTCGAGGTCTAGAGAGTGGGGCTGGTGTTGTTCTCCTGGCTTCTCGTGGTTGCTTCCAAGTGGCCTTTTCGTGCTTCTCCCTCAGAAATGCCAGTCCCTTTGAAGCCATGTCTGGTTCCACTCCACTATTCCATTCTCCTCGTCATCCTTCACTGGTGACTTCACCACGTGTCTCAAAGTATCGTTTCAGTGACTTCAGCATCCACGTGGGTAAACGACTCATCCCATGCTCTGGCCTCAAAGGCCTTTGGTCTCTCTGGTTGCAAAGAGTTTTTCTTCCACCCCCCAACCTTGGACTCCCATTTGTTCGTGGCTCCAGCCGCAGCATCTGGGAGCTTGTTAGAAATGCAGATTCCAGCCAGGCTCGGTGGCTCAGCCTGTAATCCCGTGCCTTTGGGAGGCTGAGGTGAATGGATTGCCTGAGCCCGCGGGTTCGAGATCCGCCTGGGCAGCGAGACCTCATCTTTACAATAAATCAAAAAATCAGCCGGGCGTGGTAGCACATTCCTGTAATTCCGGCTACTTGGAAGGCTGAGGCGGAAGGATCGCCGGAGCCCAGCAGGTCGAGGCTGCGGTGGCCGGGAGTGGCCACTGCACTCCAGTCTGGGCGACAGCGTGAGACTCCAATTCAAAAAAAAAGAAGAAAGAAATGCAGATTCCCAGGCCCCACCTCAGGCATACTGCATCTGGAGCTCTGGGGGTGAGGCCCAGTAACCTGTGCTCCAATAAGCCCTCCAGGTGCTTCCAGTGCACACTGAACTTTGAGGATCACGACTCTAGGTCTTGATGTCACCAACTCCTCTACCACCTGAAACATTCAGACATTTCCTTCTCCCGTCAGTGCCTCCTCTCCTTCCAGCTCTACTGTCCTTACACCTTCACTCCGATTGTTCGCTAACCTTTACGAATTCTGCAACCTGTTATCTGATTCTTTTTAAAAATTTGAAAGTAAGATTTATTAAGAGGGGACCCAAAAGACCCAAAGACAGTTGCCCTTTTTTTTTTGGAGCTGGAGTCTCACTCTGTTGCCCAGACTCCAGACTGGAGTGCAGTGGCACTCCACAGCTTTGACCTCCTGGGCTCAGGTGATCCTTCCACCTTAACCTCCAGAGTAGCTGGGACTATAGGCTTTTTTTTTTTTGTAGAGACGAGGTCTCACTGTGTTGCCTAGGCTGGTCTTGAACTCCTGAACTCAAGCAATCCTCCTGCCTTAGCCGCCGAAAGTGTTGGGATTACAGGCATAAACCACCATGCCCAGCCTGCTATCTCACTCTTTTTAACGCCTGTCATTTTGCTCATAGTTCACTTTCCTCCACCTCCTTAGTTCACGGCCTGGCACTCTTGCCATCTCCTTGTCATCACCTTCACTTCTGTGTCCCTCTCTCCCCCAAGTACTCTCTTGGAAAAACCTGAGCCTTTTTTGAAGCTCTCCACTAACTGTGCACTAACACCTCAGCTGTACCAAGGAGGCTGAACATCACTGGAGAAAATCCTAAAGTCATGCTGGCTGCACACCCTTGACGATGCCGGTGATCTTGCGGCATCCTCTTCCCTGCTGAACTCACTCCCTTCTCCGAGGTGACTACTCCACAGAGCTCCCTGCCCTCGGACCTTCCATGTGTCCAGCTGGTGACCTTGTGACACACTTCACAGAGAAACAGATGGGCCAAGCAACGACTTACCTTCCTGTCAGTTTACCAACCTCTCTGTATCTGTGCCCATGTCCCCTGCCCTCTTCTGGACTCAGTGGAAGCAGGTGCCCGTCCCTTGTCCCCCCCTCCGGCCCCAGCACTTGTTCGAAGATCAGGCCTCTCTCTGCCTACTCAAAAACTTCACTCTGCAAATGAATCCTTCTCTCTTCCGCAACCTCCTCCCTTCAGCCCTCTCTGATGCGTTATTACCTGAACATTCAGACGTCCTTTGTCTTTCTTTGGGGGTCTCACTCTGTCGCCCAGGCTGGAGTGCAGTGGCACAATCCCTGCTCACCACAGCCTCAACCTCCTGGGCTCAGGAGATCCTCCCACCTCAGCCTCTTGAGTAGCTGGGACCACAGGAGTGGGTCACCACGCCTGGCTAATTTTTCTTTCTTTTCTTTTTCTTTTTGAGTTAGAGTCTCCCTCTGTCACCCAGGCTGGAGTGCAGTGACACAATCACAGCTACTACAGCCTCGACTTGCTGTGCTCAGGTGATCCGCCTCAACCTTCCAAGTAGCTGGGGCTACAGGTGCACACCACCATACTCAGCTAATTTAAAAAAAAAATGTTATTACAGAGACGAGATCTCACCAAGTTGCTCAGGCTGGTCTCGAACCCCTGGTCTCAGGCAACCCTCTCTCCTCCACCTCCCAAAGTGCTTGGATTACAGGCATGAGCCACCACGCCTGGCCCAGATGTGCTTAAATATTATCTTTATTCAAACAAAACAAACATACTTCTCTGACCCCATATACAGGGTCATGTTATGACTCCTGTGGACCCTATATACTTTTGCCCTCATGGGTCATAATGTAAATATTGAATAAATACTCACTAGGTAAATATTTTAATTTTATTACCACTGGTATAAAAATGAACATAATTTAGGCTGGACTATGTTCATTTGCAATTCTAATTTTAAGAGACATTTGAAGTATGGGGTCCTAGGCACTGTGCCTACTGGGTAAGCCGGCTCTGCCCACATTCCCTCCAGCCGGGGTCCTAAGTTTTGCTCCTCTGACAACAAAACCCCCTGTGGCACAATAGTTCTGGTCTTACATGTTCCTTCCATCAAGGGGAGGAGCCTATTTATCTTTCTCTTCAGCCTGGATGAGACTTTGTGGCTGCCTTGTTGAAGAGAATACACCGAAGTGGCACGATGTGTCTTTCAGGCGTGGGTCACCAAAAGGAAAGGTTTTCCCTTCGCTCTCCTTCTTGGGACTTGCCCTTGGAACCTGGCCATGTTGTGAGGAAGCCCAGAGCAATGTAGAAGTTCTGCCTGAAAGCCCCAGTGAGTCTCAGCCAACAGCCAGCCT